AGTTCACAGGCAAAAATCCTGCCACTTCCAAATACACTTGCCCAGGTCAATTCTAAAGCTAAGTCCTGGTTCAAATTCTGTATAGGAAGTTCCCATTGTTGTCAACTCCTGCCCGCTCTGTACTACTTTGCTTCTGAAGTTCTGGCCATGTGGCTCCCCTGCCTTCAACTCTTGCAGCTGGTCACTGTTAGGCAATCTACAACTGTTGGGTGTGGTGCCCTCAAGATTATTACTGGGGCATTTCTGCAGTTCACTCTGAAGCTGCAGTGAAGAGAAACAAGCTCTCCTTCCCCAGGCCATGGAGTCCTTAGCTCTTCCCCTTCTATCTTCTGGGAGTGTCTGTGCTATGAGTGCTTGATTCAATCACTTTCAAAGCCAGGTGGTGACTCTGACTTTTGGCTAAGACTTCATCCCCTGGAATCAGCAAAGAAAACGATACTGAGTGGTTTGCAATGCATGGCTGCAATCCCCTGTGTAATGGTGATGTTAGAAGGTAGGACCTTTAAGAGGTACTTTAGGGTAGAGCCCTCAGGAATGGGATTAGTGCCTCTACAAGGGACTTGAGAGAGATTTGTTCTTTCCATTATGACAGGGTAAAGCAAGAAAATGCCACAGAGACCCACACTGAATATGTCTTTATCCTGGACTTCTCAAAAATGTAAGAAACTAATTTGTGGCTTATAAATTATCCAGTTCTTTGTTATAGTAGCCCAAAGGACTAACCCAGGATATTTTAATATATTCATTTAAGATAAAACCAGCTATTTCGGGGCTGGGAAGGTGGCTCAGTGGTAGAGCGCTTGCCTGGAGCTGAAGAGCTGAGGGACAGCGCCCAGGCCCAGAGTTCAGGCCCCACGACTGGACCCCCCCCCAAAAAAAAACAAAAACAAAAAAGAAAAACCCAGCTATTTCTACCCTCCTTAAGAGAAATCAAATGCTTACTAAATGTGTTCTCTATATTAGGAAAGATAGTATATGAACAAAGAAGGCAACTATTAGAATAGTTATACTTACACTCAATTTAAGTCCCCTTAATAATATTAAAATTCAAATGAGTACATATGCTATTTTACTGCCCTATCAAAGTTTCTCTAAGTTTTTAGTTAGCTCCATTATACTTGAAGCTTGCCTAAAAACATCTTAGATCAGTCAACTAACACTGTTCATTTCAGCACTATCTTTCTCCCTTCTTTTGATTCCTCTCTCATCTCTTCCTAGTGAGAATTACCAAATTGCTACTATTTATATATTTTTATATATTATACATACCAAAGTACTAATATTTATATATTTACTTAGTACTAGTATTTATAATAAACCAATTCTCAGTATATAACAGAAGTTATCAACAAGTCTATTAGACAACTGAGGGCTGGGGACTCAATGGAATAAAGTATGCTTAGTCACATGTGAAGCCCTATGAGAGATCCTCAACATCTCTCCCATCGCCAAAGAAGAATAGTTTACAGAGATTTTGCACACATACACACTTTTTACATGAGAAATACCTGAACCTGAAAACAGGGTTTTAGGAAAGGATAAATGACATAAAATTAATCAACCTCAGTCGGGAGCTGGTAGCTCACGCCTATAATCCTAGCTACTCAGAAGTCTGAGACTGAGATCACAGTTCAAACCAGTCTGGGCAGGAAAATCTTTGAGACCATTAGGTCCAATAAACTACCAAAAAGTCGAAAGTGGTGCTGTAGCTTAAGTGGTAGAGTGCTAACCTTGAGCAAAAAAGCTCAGGGACAGTGTCCAGGCCCTGGGTTCAATCCCCAGGAGACACATTCTCATTCTTTCTCTTTCTCTCTCTCTCTCTCTCTCTCTCATACACACATACTCATACTCTCACACACATACACTTTTTCTCTCACACACACACACGCATACACATACACACACAAATAAACCTCTAGCTGAACATATAGAGTAAAACAACAAAAAAAATTACCAATTTCAGAAATGGAAAATGGAATAGCACCATACACAGTACACTTTTTCTCCCAGTGCTAGGCATGGAATCTATAAAATGGAATAGTACTTGAGGGACAAAAAAAAAAATCAAGTTTAAATAAGATAATGTAATATTAATTGGTTAACATTTCCAGTAATAAGGTCTATGAACATCATATACCCCCCACCCTCCTCATTCCTCATTTCATGCTGAGAACAGTAATTACTTGTGCTGTATTCTTCCCAAACATGCATAATTCTTCAACCTATCAATATGAAAATATCAGACAAACCCAAGTGGTACCAAAAGTACCTAATAAGCACTCTTTAAAAGAATCAAGGCATGAAGGACCAGGAAAGATTTAGAAACTATATATTACAGATTAGAGGAAATTAAGAAGGAATGACAACAAATGCAATGTGGGATTCTGGATTAGATCCTGAAATCAAAAAAGGACATCCGTGGAAAACTGATAAAAACAGGATAAAGCCTGTAGTTCAATTAGTGGTAATGTAGGAACATTAGTTTTTATAATTGTACTATGGTCAAACAACATATTAGGAGAGGAAAGGTGAACTTTCCATATTAGCTTTTAGCAATTCTATAGGCCTAACATTATTTCAAATTTAAAGAGTTTTAATGGTAAGAATGATAAGAAGGAACTGGTTTACTGACAGACACAACAACATGAAGGAACCACAAAGCATTATGCCAAGCAAAAGAAGCCAAACACTATAAAGAATATGTACTATATAGTTCCATTCATATTTAGTTCTGCAAAAAGGAAAATTAATCTGAGGTGACACAAATTCATAGAGCAAAGTCCTAGGATGGGGGGAAATAACTGACTTCTAAAAGCAATAGAGGAGCCAGGCGCTGGTGCCTCACGCCTGTAATCCTAGCTACTCAGGAGGCTGAGATCTGAGGATTGTGGTTCAAAGCCAGCCTGGGCAGGAACATCCATGACACTCTCATCTCCAATAAACCACCAGTAAACAGTAAGTGGTGCTGTAGCTCAAGTGGTAGAGCGCTAGCCTTGACCTGAAGAGCTCTGGGACAGCACCCAAGCCCAGCGTTCAAGCCCCACAACCAACAACAACAACAACAACAAAAAGCATTAAAGTAACCTTTTAGGAGTAAAGAAAATTTTCTCCATCTCAAATGTGGTAGGTACACAAATGGATGCAGTTTGCAAAATTCAATCTGTCTACTTACAATGCATGTGTTTTACTATATTAATTCATTCCTCAAAAAAGCTGATTTTTTTAAGTTGGCTGCATATTTAATATTGGGTAAAATAAGATACTATAATTGATTCTTAAATGCACTGAAACTTAATTTAAGTGCTCTATCTATAGCCATGCTTAGGCTTAAATTTTAGTTCACCATTTTTTGGGGGGTGGCATTGAACTCAGGGCCTCATGCTTATTAAGGTACTCTTGAACCATGCCCCCCAGCCCTTTTCTTGCTTTTAATTATTTGTGGGATAAGGGTCTCACATTTTCGTTGAGGCCAGCAGGCTGGTCCATGATCCTATTTGTGCTACCTGATATATATATATATATATATATATATATAGTATTATTATCATTATTATTATTATTTTGGTTGGTCATAGGGCTTGAACTCTGGGCCTGAGAGCGGTCCCTGAGCTATTCAGCTCAAGGCTAGCACTCTACCACTTCAGCCACAGTGCCACTTTCAGTTTTCTGGTGGTTTATTGGAGATAAGAGTATCGACTTTGCTGACCGGGCTGGCTTTGAACCATGATCCTCAGATCTCAGCCTCCTGAGTAGCTAGGATTATAGGCGTGAGCCACCGACACCCGGCTTTTAAACAAAAGCATCTAAATCTATGTGGCAAGTAACCATATATATACATTTTTTGTACATTTACAGCATTCATTTATATTTGTAGCCCTAAGTGAACATCAAATTGAGATTTTATTATTTTAAGATGGAAGTTGGTTTTCTAATTACAAAAATGGTTATAAAAGTGGTTCCTAAGGTAAGTGAATTTATATTTTCAAGTTTTATGTATTTTTGGACCATTTAAGATTGAGTGCCATGGGGCTGGGAAGATGGCTCAGCGGTAGAGTGCTTGCCTTGCATGCATGAGGCCCTGGGTTCGATTCCCCAGCACCACATAAGCAAAAAGAAAAAAGCCGGAAGTGGCACTATGGCTCAAGTGGTAGAGTGCTAGCCTTGAGCTGAAGAGCTGAGGGACAGCGCCCAGGCCCAGAGTTCAGGTGCCAACACCGGACCCAAAAAAAAATTAAATAAATAATAAGATTGAGTGCCATAGCTAGACTCAACTGTGTGAACACACATGTACACGTAATCTGTATTCTTACTCCCTGAAATAACACTTTTACCACACTGCAAATATTTTACTTCAGTTCTGAAGAAATGTTATAGTTACTAATACCACTGATTATGGAGGAAAAGAACACAATGTTGATGTTTAAGGGCTATGTAATAATGAACAAAGCTAACAGCTCTAATTTTTAAAAAGCCTCCTGCATATTTGTATGTAATCAAATCAACAGAAAATGAGCACAATTTCCATTTGTGTTAAGAATAACTTGTCAGGGGTATGGGAGTATAGTTTAGTGGTAGAGTGCTTGTCTAACATGTGTAAGGCCTTATGTTCAATCCCTAGCACCACAAACCAAAAATAATGTTGAAAATCTTAACAATAATGGAAAGACTAGTGGTAGAAAATTTCATCTCTGCAGTATAGCTTAACAAAATAAAAGCCAAAAATGTCCAAATGCATACATTATTGTACAATTTTACCAAATAGTTTCTTACCAAGAACTTTAAAATAACTTAGGACCCTATCTGTGCAAGCTGATGAACCACCCTCAAAGTTATCAGAAAGTATCAATATTCACAAATCTCAATGAACACAGTTGGACCATAAGAGCTTTTAGAGCTAAATTAATTAATTAAATCAACAAGTATTTATTCAATTGCTTACTGTAGCCCACTGCATTATATCAAGAACAGTAATTATTAAGTAATCATAAATTGTTACTCACCAGCAAGGGTATAATCCATATCAAAACCAAAACATTTTATTTTTTCCATGGCTAAACTTCGGTTCACAAACACCCTATGGAAAAAGAAAAAAATGGTATCTCAATTAGCATTGGAAAAGAAATTCTCAAGTATACTGAAGCTATATTGGCTACTTTTCAAGATCTCATTTATTTATATCCCCAACTGATATATTATATATATATATGTATGTATGTATTTAACATACTTAGTATGCTTGATATACTTTGATATGCTTAATATACTTGATATACTTTTTTTTTCTTTTCACAGTTATTGGGGTTAAAACTTAAGAGTCTCGCACTTGCTAAGCAGTCAGTGTACCTCTTAAGCACCATCTCCAGTCCTTTATGCTGGTGGTAAAATGTTATTTTTCACATCGTTTCATGTTTTTGCCCAGGCCAGTGTGACTTTGATCTTCCTACTTATGCCTCCTTCATAGCTGTATTCACCAACACACCTGAGTTATTGGTTGAGACAGAGTCTCACTAACTTTTTTGATGGGGCTAACCTCAAACTACAGTCCTTTCGATCTCTACCTAAGAAGCTGGAATTACACACCATGATTGGCCCTTGACATACTTATCTTGACACACATATACATAGTAATTATTAGAACAAGCAACTAAGAATATCATAGTATTCCTTCTTTTCTTTTTTTTTTTTTTTGGGTCCGGTC